GTTGTTTTGGCCGGTGGTGTCGAGCATGTAGGTTTTGCCGTTGCAGTCGGTAACGTGGGCGACGGGGCTGAGGGTGATGTTAGTGAGTGAGGTTGAGGCTGAGCGAGGTTTAGTACTTACGCAAGGGCTTCAGCAGCGATAGCGATGGAAGAGGTGAGCACGGAAGCGAAGATGAAAAGAGTGGACAACATCGTGGGGAACTGCATGGTAGACGAGCGATTCTTGGGTCTTCACTGCAGGAGAAGGACTGTGACTGCAAAGAGGTTTATAACCCAATGGGTCAGGAAGACGATTGCCGTTGTACTACTACTCCAGCGTTGCACAAAGTTCTCGACCGTGATAGCGCCTTCCCAACACGAGCCCGTTACCGTGGAACGCGAGATAAAGCAAACAGCAAAAAAACAAAGAACATGTCTTAGCGCGCTCTGGAAGCTACAACGCGGCCTCCAAGTAGCTAGTTCGCTGCATGGACTGTATGTATTCGGCAAACTGGAAAGGTTTCTGACGCTACATACCCCAACATATATAGCATGCGCACGCTAGCATTCAGCCTTTCAGCCTTGAGTGAGGGGTCCAGGCGAGCAGCTGTAGTAGTTGGGCGCTTTCTTCCAACGTCGCTCTTCCTTGCTTAGAAGCCCGCTGCAGCGCGAGAACTGGTCGATGTGTTCGTCGCCGCCGTTGTTGCATGTGCCCGAGTCGACGGCGCTGAGATGGATTAGTATACACGCGTATGTTGTTTTGATTTCGCTCCACCTACTAGTACAAGTAACAATCGCAGTTGAACGCCTTGAATCCGGTAATCTCCTTGTGGTCTTTGACGGGAATACAGCCACCCCATTCAAGACGCTGGTGTACTTTATCTCCGATCCAGGTCTCGGCGCAGATATCTCCTTGTGTGTGACATTCGTCACGTGCGGCGAAGACGCTAGGGCTCAGGCGGGAGGATGGAGGGGCGGCAAGAGTGAGTGAGAGGAAGCCGAATAGACTGAGGAAGGAGTAGAAGTGATACATGTTGTCGGGGTGGTCAGGAGTGAGCTGTCGGAAAAGAGGGGACGGTCTGGTCTGTTGGGAGGAGCGGGAGAGGAGCGGGAGCAATCCGCGACTCCTTATATCAACGTCCGGGAATGCGCCAAGCCGGTGCGTGAATCACTTGAGGAATGCGCGAACGTACCCGGTGAAGGCCCGGGCCGCGCCTTCCACGCCGTGGGTCCAAAACGTGCGGGGAGCTACAAATTCGCTCTTGCGAAAGAACTGATCAACGCTCGCGTATGTACGTGTATATTGCCAGCTCATCAATCGACGCACCTGTGTGGCGTATCTGGGGGCCGACGCTCCTCCTCGAACGTCAGCTCCAACCACTTCAGACCCCACTCGTATCGGGGTCTTTGAGAAATCCGTGCCGCAACGATGGATGTTCGCCGGCGCCTGAGTGGAGCGTGAATGGGTTCGCAGTCTGTCCTCTCGATACGCGTGCGGATGGCAACACGATGAAGGTGCCAGGCTGTTGCATTACGAGTCGATTGTAAGCGATCCAGGCTAATGTATCAGTCACGCACATACGTGTAGCCAGACAATATGACGAAAGAGATGTTTTACTTTGCTGAGTGAAACATGGTTTGGCCTACCAACGCCGTTAACATACATTATCGCTAAGAAGCCACCACCAATATCAGCACTGCCATGCTGATACGACACCCAAAGATGTGACAACCGCCAATGATTCCGGCCGCATCCAAGTCCGCCATGATGCTATTAACCCAAGGTTGCACACTTGTACCACTTGGGATTGGGATTCTCGAAGCAGGGTTCTTCGCCGGGTTCCCCGGTGGGTCCTTCATACATAGGGGAATTGGTCGCTCCTTTGCAGTCTTCCTCGCTCCTGGTAGTTGTCAGTCACTGCTTTGGTCTCACCCGAGCACGATCTCCAAAGATCAAGTAGTCGCCAGGCGTAACAATCGTCTCATGCAGGTAGGGTACCGATGGGTACGTAGTCTTTAACCATGGTTGTGGTCCCACTTTGACACAGCATCGGCCGATGTGTATCTCTCAAAGTGTATTGTACTTACAGGTGGAATGAACATTCACAGCCCCCAAACAAGCTATAGGCGTACGCATCTTGAAATCCCGGGATAGTCTCGTTGTAGTAGATCGCTGTACACTCGGCTACAGCCGGGGGATATGCGGAAATACCGGCATAAGCGCTGCTGTTTCGAACGGTGAGAACGTAACCGCAGTTGTATGGCTCGCCGTAGAGTTCTGAAGTAGTTGTCAAAGGAGCTGAGAGTGCGATGGGCAAGCTGGAAAGCAAGCTTGTGAGGACGGTAGCTAGATACATCTTGAATTTTGGTGAGTTGCGCTTCGATGAAGACAGTATATAGAATTCTTGTTGTCCTGGAGGCGGTTTGGTGTGTAGAGTGAAAGAGTTCTGAACAAGTTATTTGAGCGGCTTCGAGATCTCTTCGTTGAATAGGTTAGATGAGCTTGCTTGCTCTGTGCCTTAGCAGAGAGGATGTAAAGCAGGCCTAAATACCACATGTGAATCGCGATGAGCTCATCTCACCATCTTCGCCAGTGGTAACCGAGCTGTCAAAATGCAAGATCCCGTCGTCAGCATGGCTTTTGTACCCCCTTCTCTGCCTATTACGGACGTTGAGCGTTGCACACATATACCGATCTTATGTCACCTTCGCCTTCTTGACGAATGCGCCCACGACGGTGCCCTATCAAGCACGGTCAACGCGATCAGGAGCCATATGCGCAATATGTCGGTCAAGCCGAGTTGACGTGTTCGGAAGTAGGAGCAGCCTGACCGCCGAACCGCGCCTCTACGGTGCGACGCTGGAATGTATTCGAGACAGTAGTAGCAGTAGTATGGCGCAATATCTGTGTCGATAACATAGCTTTGGTGTGCTTGGCGCGGTTTGCTACTTCTTCTTTGCAGGATCGCGATCACCGATTGGCCGTCGGCAGCGGTGAGTATAGCTAGAGGTGTTACTGCAACGGTATGACGAAAGAAAACGACGAGAAGTAGCGCTTGATGCAGTCGTACCAATCCTCTATACGGATGTATTACGAACAAGTTTAGCAGCATCAGTACGGATGCAGCTGGAAACGAAAAGCGGTATGTTACAGTGTATGCCGTGTTCTAAATATCCAGGATATGGCGTTGAGAAGAATGGGCATGTGCCATCGCACATGAACCATGAGCTCGTAGCCAGCAGGTAACATCCCGAGATAGTCCTGTATTTTAACATATTTGTGGTAACTCACGCCGATCGATATCAAGAATGCAAGATAGTGCATACCTGTACGGCGGTACAGGCCAAGAATGGCGAGCTTGTTTGTGTCAGGCTTCGGACGAAAACTTCATGCCGAGGAGATCGATGTGACGTGACGCGCGGATTTGACGGCATAGTGGAGGTGGTCAGGAGACGTGGAAGGAAGACGCATCAATGTTGGAAGACGATAAGGAGGGGCGGCCTTAGCGTCCACGTGATAGCGCGCGATCTCGACGACGCGCCAACTTTGAACATGTCGACAATGGACCAAGATCCCGAAAGCACATCCGACTCCAATTTTGACAACCTTCCAAAATGAGCCGCGCAAGCATAGAACAAGCTCTTACGGGCTTGATACCCACATTGAGCGGCCCACTGCCACCCGAGCTGATAGAATTGGCGCTTTCTCTCCTCACGCGTTCGCGAAGCGTTGCGACATCTATGAAGCCAGATGAAGAGATCGCACGACCATACGCATGTGCGCAATTAGCATGCGAAAGGTAGGGAATCCGGACTACGCATACGTATCTGATACTGACCCTTAAAGGCTAAAGAAGCGTCTCAACCTCCCTACCATCGCATCACGACCGCCCTGTCCCCCACGGATATACAAGAAACTATACAACTACCTCAGCAGCGCACTCCCCGACAGTACAACCCCTCGCGAACCAACAACACCGAGCAAACCAAAAGCCTTAGCCCCCGCATCAGCACGCAACACACCAAAAACGCCGTTGAGCGCGAGGAAAACACCGAGGACTGCAAGGAGGCTCGATGACAACAATGGCGAAGCACCAGAATGGGTGATGCCTACGATACGCTCCCTGGCTAGAACCTTCGAATACACCAGCCTGATACCGCACGTATACACAGGCGTAGAATCCATCTACCCTCTGCTATCCCGCATGTCCGCCGCCGTCGCCGAAACACCCAGCAAGCGACTGAAACGAACTACAACCGCCAATTCGTCATTGGGAGAAGTCAGTGACACGCGCGTACTCAGCCTCATCGTCGTGGTGTTTCTTCTCGTATACTCGCGCATGAAGGATATCGACGTTTCCATACAACAATACAACGAATGGCTAGCCAAAGCAGTGAAGGCTGTTCTGGTCCTCCCTGCTACAAAGGATGTAGAGGATGGCGAGATACAAGCCAAGATCGAAGAGACGATGAAGATGGCGAAGGAAGAGGGTTGGCTGCAGATGCAGTGGTTCGATAGCGTGAAGCCGCAGGGTGATGGAGAGGAGATGGAAGGTGTGGAGATGGGCGATAGTGCGGCGGCGGGTAAGGCGGAGGGCATGGGACTGAGATCCGGGGGAAGTGATTATATTGGTCTAGGGACGATGATGCAGGACGCTACCGATTATTTGGGGGAGCGCCAGCAAGAAGATTATATAAGATGGAAGGAGGATATACTAGCGAGGGTACGTGGACTCGAGGGAGCTGCCTAGTGGCGGGATTTGTGTTGCGGAAGACACGTCACTAAATGTTGAGAAGTGTATGCTTCCAAAGATGATGTATCCTCCTGGCTCAACAATAATTTTGCAGAATACGACACGAATTTGAGCCTTCCTAGGATGCTAGTGTCATACGGCAAGAGATCGAAGCAAGTGTCATTGGTTTCTGGGGGTATCCGCACTATGTCCTACGCACATGTCTACTCACACAAAGCCCTCCGTCTCCCTCCAGCCACGCCCATCCTTCCACACGCCGCACCCAGCTCTAGGCCATCATGCTATGCATGCGAACCAAATTTGTCCCGTTGTTCCTGACGCTGATGAGCTTGGAGTCGATCCGACCAGTCTCCCTCTTGGCAACGGCCCCTTCTTCACTCGGCTCCGTTATCGCATCCTGTGGTACATCTTCAATGGCGAAGAAGAGGTGCATATTGTAATCGAGCCTACGGTTACTGCTAGGAGACTTCACATTGGTCACGACCGTCACCTTAGAGATGCGTTTGATGCCGAGATCGGCTTTGTGGGTCGCCAAAAAGTATGCTGCTGTCGCGCCGATGGGTGAGGCTGGAGGTAGTCAGTATAGTTTTGGGTAACAGCGGCGAGCTGAATATTAGGCCGGGAGGTCCTCAAGGATCTCCAGGGCATTAGATACGTTTACCAGGAGACAATGTATGCTGCAAAGGGGTATATGAAAGTGAGGTTATTTACCGATGAGTGCAGTGTATTCCTCAGTCCCAATTGGAAAAGCAGTACCTGGCCAAGGCGATAACTTTTTAACGCCTTTGTTCTTCATCGCCCGAGCGACTAGAAGACAGGTATCGGGATTGATGATATGTTGAGCGGCGTACATGCGGAAGTTCTTGATATTGGGGTTATCGCGAGCCCAAAAGCCCCAGAAGATGTCGGACGCGATACCAAGTTCGGGCAGCTCTCCGGGGTTTGCTGGCCGACCCCATCCCATCATACCACGAACAGCATGGCTTGGACTCTCGATGTTCTGGGCCATGAGGCCTCCGCCGTTTGCGCCGATGTTGACAGTGAACTCGTAAAAAGCAGCCGTTCCCTGTTCTGTGTCAGCTGCGTACTTTCAAAACGAAACAAATGCCTATTCCATCGTAGCCTTTGACAAATACAGGTGCAGTTAGATCGAGTGTGACATACCGAGTACTCCTTGCCCCCAACCCAATACTTCTGATCTTTGGCATATACCATTTCATAGTTATTTGGGTTATTCGGGTATAATCTCAAAGTTTCGTCATAGTGTGTAATCTTGAAGCATTCGTTGCTCCCGTGCAGACGGTCGCCTTCGTCGTCAAACTTTGGTTGCGAGTCGAGACCGTGGCCTTCAAACGCCGTTCTGAGCCCCATAGCTGTGAAATCGGCGTCCCAACCCTTGTCAATGTCTGCTTCGTGCCAACCCCATAATGGAATCTCAGCTCTGAGCTCGCCGGTCCATTTGCTCGCTGCGGAAGGCGGTTGTCTTGTATCTTTCGAGAGCCACCCGGCGCCTCTGTCGGTGGCGTCCATGAGACACGTCAAGTGATGTCCCTTGTCCAGGTACTTTTGCCATTTAGCGTCATCGGCCCAGTTGCCTGGATTGAAGTCGCCGCCATCGGTACGGGGAGCGAGAGCAGGAGGAGCGAATTCCGGAGCATTGAACTCTGGAGGGCTGAACTCTGGAGTGCTGAACTGGGGAGGAGCGTCCGAGGAGTCGATACCGAAAGTTCTGGTAGTCACGGGACTGTCGATATGTCTACCGATAACCAAGGCGACGAGGGCGATAGTGACGCCTGGAGTGATTCGAAGCCTCATAACTGAAAGTTTTGAGGTGGGTTGTGTGACGTTGCCGAGTACCGGTGGTGCGAGATAGACAAGGAAAGAGCGTTTGTCGCCCCGTATACGCTAACCGCACCCAGCGGTGAAGTGAGTGAATCACAGGCAGGCGAGAGAACAGACAGTATTGCTAGCGCGCGCGAACCCATGCTCCGACGAGACATGATCTAATCCCCAGATCAATGCTCTAGGACGCCTACATCACAACAAAATCCTCCGGAACTACACCCACGAAGTCGATGTCGTCGCCACGCTATGCTTCACTCCTTATACAACTCCGCCGTCCTCACCCTCCCCTCCTCCAAAACCGCCTCCACCATCTCCCCATCCCTCGGAACAAGCCTGACGCCAAAGTCTCTCGGTATAGCCACCAGCGCACTCTTGATAGCATTGTAATCCACGTAATCAGTATTCGGCGGATTCGTCACACTAGCCTCGATCTTGTACAGGCTGAGCAAACGAAACAGCGCAGCGTAGATGAGCTTGCTTGCTATCAAAGCACCAGGACAGGATCGGGAGCCAGCGCCGAAGGAGAGGTGAGGGGGGTTGACGTGGGAAGTCGGTGTGTGGAGGGAAGATGGGGAGGTGGGGGGTGTGAGCCAGCGTTCGGGGTTGAAGGTTGCGGCGGTGGGACCGAAGTAGTCGGTGTCTGCGAGCTGTCAGTCTTCTGTGAAAGGATCATGGGTTTAGTGCAGTGGAAGAGAGGCCTACCGTGATTTCCAGCTTGAGCGTTGATCAACACCATCGTCCCTTTCGGTATGACAGCGTCTCCCCACCTTACCTCGTTCATTGTCTTGCGCGGTAGACTCATGTTACTGACTGTATAGTACCTTCCCGCCTCTTTCACAATCGCGTTCAGATAGGGCACAGTTTCCTTCTCAAAGTCTGTTGCCCACGCTTGTTTCAACGCCGCATCGTCCGGGTACATCTTGCGTATCTCGGCATACGCGCGCTCTTGGTAGATCTGGCCTTCGGGTGTAGACAGAGAACCGATGCAGGATACTAGCGTGCCTGGTATTGTTTCAAAGCCTCCAGATACCAGAGATAGACAGATGGAGCTCACTTCGACACCTGTGAGGCGGGTTTCTTCGTCTTTGAGGATGGCGGCGCTGATGCACGGCTTCTCAGTGCCGTTCTTGATCATCTCGCGGACCTTGTCTAGAAGCTCGTTGAGATACTTGTCTCGTCGCTCGCGTAGTTCTTTCGAGCGCCGATTTTTTTCGTTGTTGGGGAGGTATCGCAGGATAGGGACGTAATCTTGGTAGTTCTCTGAAGCAGAGCGAAGGAGCGAGATGGCTGAGCCGACTTCGAGAATCTCGCGAAGAAGATCATCGTAGACTGCGTCCATGCGGATACCGTAGCATAATGTGAGGGTTGTGTTAAGGGCATAGCGCTGGATGTACGGTCGGAAGCTGACTTCGACCTCCCCACTCTTGCTGTCGCGGCAGAGATCTCGAGCTATACAGTAGGATTCCAAGTCGAACATGTCATAGTAATTCTTCATCATGCCTTTACTCAAGGTCGTCGATGCAGCCTTGCGTTTGTTCCGACAGCTCTCGTCCCATGGCGAGCTTCCGATAGTGAAACCTTGTGTCGATGAAATCAAGCCATGGAAGGTATACAGTTTCGGTCGATCAATCAGGCCTTGCGAGTTCGAGACCAGGATTTTCTTGCAGTCTTCAAAGGAGTTGACGATTAAAGCGCGCGTGTTGCCAAGTCGAATCTGGAAGACCGAGTTGCCATACTGCCGCCACCACTTCTCGCATACTGTAGCATGGTCGTCGCCGAGCTGGGTGAGGTGGCCTGTAACTGGAAGAGCACCTGGTATTTCTGGTATGCCGCGGATGTAGGGGATGTCAGTGCGAGTCAGTATCTAAGTAGTTGTCAACATCGCTGATCATAGCTGGGTTCAGTCGACATAAATACCTTGTACGTTACAAACACAATAGCTGCAACAATTGAAACCACTACTATATGACCAGAAGGCATATACCTTGCATGGGGTACGATATCCGGCAGATGCTCCATATCAGAAGTTGGTTCCACAAATCCTTGGAATCAACGGCAAGGGAAGAAATTGTTAGCAAAGCAACAACACGATTACTTATAGATGCCATCGTCCAAGTGTGCGAGGGCACTACCGGCATCCAATGCTTTCATGCATGATCGCGAGGGGTGCATTCGGAACCGTTCCGAAGATAACGGGCTGCTTATCAGTACAACTCCCACCTTTGAGTTCATTGGAGACCGCGCGACGCGCCGAAATCGCCTCTTAGCCAATGCAGAAGAAGCCATCATGAGCTCAATATCTCTTTCGCGTACACTTGCCGGATAAAGCTGAAAGATAGATGCAAACCTAGGAGACGCTGACTGACACCTCTGACTAAGACGGTGTACAGGGGGTACGCTGTAAATGCCAACTCAAATAGAGCAAGTAGACAGTGTACCTTAAGGTACCATTTGTAGTATCACTCATGAGAAGTGAGCTGCTTCATACGCGTGTGTGTCGTGGTAGTCAATGACGCGAGTCGAGGACGCCAAAGTCGCGTTGGTAGCTGACTAAGCCATCTCAGGCATCCTGCCGTTGCGTCATCCAACACGATCCTACGCGACTCCTCCAATTCCACGTAACCATCTTTCTGCCTGGACGCGATTACGCAGCCATGTCTGCCTTACACTCGCGGCACGCATTTCGCCAATGCTATAAAGACGCGCGATCTCGCTTTGATCATCTGCTAACACCGCATTAACCCACTCACCACAGTAACAGTTCCAACGATCCCATCCACCACCCCCAAAATGCCCATCACCGAACTCGCCCTCCTCCACCTCACCCCCGGCACCACGCTCGAATCAATCACCCTCCGCGCCAACCTCTCCCACGCGAAAACCGTCCTACAGAACTACACAAACCGCACTTTCTACTACCTGCAGCAAATCTCCGATCCGAGCTGCATCTACGTAGTGGGAGAATGGGACTCGCTAGACCAGCACTTGAACGACTTCATTCCCAGCGCAGATAACCAAGCACTGTTGGAAAGCTTGAAGGACTACATCACTGTGGATTCCAACCTTGAACATCTCGATGTGCCGAATGCGGAGCTGCCGTTGCCGAGGAGCGAGGAGGAATTGGAGAGTGCGAGGAGGGGGGAGCAGGTGTGGAGTATCACTCATTACACTATCAAGGCTGGGAAAAGAGAAGCTTTCGAAGTTCAGATCAGGGAGATGAAGGAGAAGTTGGATAGGACCTATTTTAGTGGGGAAGGCGGGATTGGAGGTGGGTGGTGTGTTGGGAAGAAGGAGGGAGAGGATGATGTGTTCGTGACGCTTTTTGCTTGGAGGACTGTTGCGGAATATGAACTGTTTGGGAAAGGGAAGGAGAGGGAGGCTTCTGCGTATACGGGGGAGTGTGTTGAGCGGAATGATGTTAAGCATGTCAGGCTTTTGGATATTTGAGACGGTCTGTATCCTGAAGTCACCCGCTCCTACACTGGCACTCAGGATGGCAACTCCAGACTATTACATCACAAAGGTTCGTGGTAGAGCATTACATTACGTTCATTAATCTCGATACATCCTCGCTGCATCTATCTACACATAGATATAGCAGAACGGTCCACCGAGCGTACTCATCGCATCCTTAATCGTGATATTCCCAAACGCATCCTGAAGCATGGGACCCAGCGTCAACGTATCATTCAGTGTACCCTTCCGGCTCGGCGGGTCATTGTTGAACGTGATAGTACCATCAACCGCATTTCTCCTGTTTTCGAGATCTTGGTTCTGCCAGATCCACCACGTGCGATCGATCTGTGCGTGGTGGAAGTAGAAGGCCTAACAACGGAGTCAGCGAATATCCCGAACAAATCGGCAATGTAAGGGGAAGACTTACAGGGTCAGCCGGCGAGTTGAAGAAGTCAGAACCAGCATCTCCTCCAACAGTGTAATGACCAGCGCTGTGAACGCCAAGGTATCCATTGGGGAAATCGCCCTGCATGCGGTTCTGGAAGGTAAGAATATCATCGCTGTTCTCAAGGAGCTCAGTGATGACCTCATCCCTCGACAAATACGCAGAGTTCTTGTTAACATCTCTGTTTATGCATCTGGGGTTATATCCCAACCCATCCGCCTGCGGATTCGCTTTGATACCCGTTACTTTCGTGGCGATGGGTCCGAGAGTCACAGTCCAGTTCGCCAAGGGTCCGGAAACGCAGCCTCCGCCGTTTCCGGGGTCGAGCTTGATGGGACAGTCTGGTGAGCCGGTTGGGACGCCGACGCAGGTGTAGTTTCGGCCGGGGACGTAGTCTCCACCGTTGGATATGCTGGTGTCGCTGCCGTCGAAGAGGGGGGATGAGGCGGGGTCTTCGTACCACCATGCCCAGTTGTAGTAGGGGAGGTAGCCTTTGTAGCCGCATTCGTTGCGGAGTAGTTGCTCGTAGGCCCAGATGTAGTAGCGGTGCCAGGATAGGAAGTTGGCCTGGAGAAGTTAGCTTGTCGTGTCGCCTGGGAGGCTGTCGTAGTCTTTTGCTATTCAAACAGTCGTTCGATGTGACGAAATATGGCTGGTTTCAGACGTACGGTTGCGTGGATAGAGTATGTCTGCTTAACGTGTGTCACGACAAAGTCGTCGAAACGGCTCCGCGCTCCGGGCGCAACGGAAGCTGGTGTAAGACCAGGCTTAGAGTGCAGACACTTGATAGCTTCAATATAGTTCCTCCTCTCCGGCTTCGTGAGCGTTGACCTTGAATGGTGTTAAATTTGCAAAGACGATTTCCAGATGCTAGCCACTCACCACTCTTTTCGTACTGATGCTGTCTCTGGAGTACATGTACCTGGGCCGGGAGAGCCGTTCTCCGCTACATAACGTTGAAGGTTTTCCAGTCCGAGTTCCGCGAGCTTGTCGTGTTCGGTGACTTTGACGGCGGTGACGCTGCTGGCAAGCGCCAGTGCTGATATACCGAACAATCTCATCTCGAAGT